TGGGAGGATCCGCTACCCTTTAACAGGTTAGAGCCTCCGATACTGACTCCTCACACCACTTGGCAGCCAAAAGGCTGCCAAGTGGTTTGGTCTTGTTTTTTTGGGCCCCAAGCTGACGGCAACACCCTGCCCCAGCAGACCTCCTCACATCAAGAGTCTGCCCTGTCCAGCTAGCCGAAAAATCAAAGGATCGTGCTGACCACTACACTCCAGCAGACCTCCTCAACCCGGACATCTGCACTGAACGATCCTCCTACCCTCACGATCCTGCTACCCTCATCATAACCGCCCGCACCAACCGACCCGGCCACCTACCCAAACAATCCTGCCACCCTTTGAAAGGTGAGTATCACCCCCCACTGACCCCACGGCCAAGTGGTTTTTTCTGGTTGCCTATTGGGCATTTGTACTTTTGTGGGGCCCCTAGCTGATGATGACACACCTACCCGCACAGACCCCTCCTCCCCCTTGATCAGCAACAGCCCTTTCATTATTTCATTTTCCATGCAATAAAATTATTTAAACCCCTGCCAAACATCTTCAAACCCCTGAGAGATACTTGTTTAGTGAGTACCACCCATATGTAGACATTTTAAACACATAAGCAAGCCATCTTGACAGCCAAATGGTTGTCAAGGGGGCTTGTGTACCTGTTGGGGTCTCATCTGAGCAACCACATGCCTGCCAGCACAAGGCCCCCCAACCCCAGTGGAACCCCCTGGGAAGATTTAGACAAAGTAGCGCAATAGTTGTCAGTTGCTGACTATTATTAACTATGGCAGCTCAGGCCCCCCAGTAATTACAGATCCACCAACTACACTGGTGACCATTGGAATTAAAATTGAATCGATTTTTAGTCTTCTCATCACGTCAGTACATTCCATCAAACAATGCACCCCACCCCCTGGAGAGCAGCTATACCTGGGCGGGTTTGAGCGGAGTAGTTCATCTGCCTGGGTATTTTAGGGCCATTGGGGACTTGGCGGAGTTGTCGAAAAAGCAATGGCCCCTGCTTGAATGGGGGGTGGGATTGATATCACACTTGAAATGCCATAGCTGACTCTTTACATTTCTGGCAGCACAGGTACCCCACCCTTTGGAAGAAAATTCTCCGCCCACCTCACCACGTCAGTATCCTCTTTCTTTTTATGAATAATGCACCTCACCCTCTGGAGAGCAGCTATACCAGGGCGGGTTCAAGCGTAGTAGTTCATCTGCCTGGGTATTCTAGGGCCATTGGGGACTTGGCGTTGTTGTCGAAAAACCAAAGGCCCCTGCTCCAATGGGGGGTGGGACACTAAATAATTGGTCCAATCTGATGGCTGATTGATCCTTCCATTTTTATGTAGCACCATGGGATTGCCTTGGGACCACCAGATCCGAGGAATGGACTTTAATGCCAAGCAGGAAGCAAGAATGATCCGGATACTGTGCAAGACCCTCAACCAACAACATTCCGAGGCATGTGTTGAGAAGGTAGACTTTGACCTGCTGGCGGTTTTTCTTATGCAGGAAATGCACGGGAACATCCACATCCAGCAACTGGTTGATATGGTGCTGGACCAATTTGGTCCAAAGGCCCATCCACTGGGCGAAAGACTTCCGGAACCAGAAGACGACAACAAAAAGCCATTTGCGCCAAGGACCCCCCTACAAAGCCAGATCCACCACGCAGCTCTTCACGTCAACCAAACCATCAACCAACACACCCAAGAGCTCCAGACAAACCCAAATGCTCGCCAACCCTTCTGCCTCCGGTATCCAACTTACCAGAAGTTTGTGGAGTACTCCATTAGCATGGAGAAAAAGTGTAAGCTTTTGCCAAAGGACAAAATGGTTGTGTTGTTGGAAGAGGCTGGAAGATGTGTGGGGGTGGCTGTTCCGCCAGATCATACTAAAGAAGATGGGATATACTTATCACCCCCTGTAAGTGGAATTGATCATGTAACCTCTTCATAAAATTCATATCTTTTAATTACCCCATCTAATTCTACTTTGCTGATATTATTCAAAATAGGATCGTGCATTGGCTGGCCTGAATGATGCCATTAGGGAGTGCAATTGGAACGAGGCCAAGGACGAAATCGTGTACACAACTGTTCCCCCACTTGGTCCTCTTCAAACTCCAAAACCTCTTGATATGGACAACAAAGGCGAAATCCGAGACCCCAAACCTAAATCCACCCCAGAAGAACCGCCCTCCCAGAATTCCGCCACCCCTGCCCAACAATCCAAACTCCTTCACCATCTTCAAATCGCAAACCCAGGCAG